TTATGCGCACCAACGCTTTCATACCCTTCCCACAAATAATAACGAAAACGCAAACATTTCGCATGAGCATGGCAAACGATTTGAAAAGTTAGGTATACTCTCCACACAGAAGGGAAGAAACGACGAAATTTCAATTTTCGTGAGATGCTGCTTGTGCTCACATGCATACATACATATACATATTTGAGAGAGCAGAGAGCAGAGAGAGAGAGAGAGAGAGCAAGAGAAAATTGAGCATAGTGAATTCTTTTGTTCAATATTTGACCATCTCGGTCGAGCGCATGAAGCAAAATAAAACTGAAGAGCCGAGCAAATACGAAGTGGTCTGGGAGATAACTCCCGAAATAAAGTGTGCAAAACGCTTTACACTACTTATCGGGTCTATGTGTTCTGTGGTTAGTGATATAAATAAGGAAACTTCAATGCATTTTAATTCTGCTTATTCATACGTAAAAAAACAAAGAATAATAAATAAAAAAAAGTTTTAATTGTCTTGTTTCCATTCAGTTTATTTATAATTATTATGCTTCGGTTTCCTGAGGACGGATTTTCTGAAGATAATAAAGGATCTCCGCACATCGATAATCATCAACAAAAAGAAATTTTTAGCAAATCTCTTTACCACTCACCAATATCTTCCGATTTTTGTCCTGAAAAACTTAAAAATAATGGTTTACAAAAGGATGGTGTTCCTATTCATTCATCATATGCAACACACATTATTAAGTCCAGTTCACCAACTTCCAGCGTGGGAGAATCAATATTTGTTCCAGACTTTAATAGTCAAATACCAACATCTAATGGTCAACAAATACATACAATGACGCCAAGTACTGATATCAACTTTTACAGCTTTCCCGAATTTATATCTGACCAAGAAAAGAATATACTGTCAGATTCTGAGAAGATTCTTCGTTCAAAAGAGAATGATATATATAATAACGAATATAATCACATACATGATGTATTTGCCATTCGCAAATATTATCATCCCTTATTCGCTCATGGAATATGTAGATGGCCTGGTTGTGAAGTTGATTTGGAAGATATTGCCTCTTTTGTAAAGTAAGTAGATTTAAGATTATATCATATATAAATTAAATTGTAAATGGAAAATCAGGATATAATGTTTTTGTGAATATGTATGTAACAGGTGTGAATGTGTTAAGTATAAACGCCGATTAGGTAAAAGGACTAACAATATAATAAATAGACTGAACATATCTAAAAAGTTTTTTGCATAGTTAAATTTGATTATAACTATATCACACAACTTCGTATTTGCTCGAGCCTTTACTTTTACGAAAATATAGCAAACCAAAAACATTTAATCGAGCAATTGAAAATGGTTTTGTTAAATATATGTAAGAGGCTAAAGGAGACGTGACGAGTTCAGTCGATTTAGCCATGTCAGAAGATAGTAGAGTCCGTATATGAATATAACAGAATTTAACCGAAGCATATAGGCGTCGAGTCACTCGAGTCCTTGCATGCATATATCTTCGTATCAACACTTCGTATTTGCTTGGCTCCGATGAAGCCTTACTGCGCGCCTTTTCCTTCTTACTCTCCCTTTCTATCTAGGCCCTTTCCCTTTACGAATATATCTTTACCGAGCTGTTGAGCGGGTTCGCGGTAAAAAAAAAAGAAATAAGGGACAGTCAACTGCGTATTAGCTCTCTATTCTCGTATGACCCACTAATATTTGCTATTCTTCTCCGGTACTCTATCTCTCTTCCGGTTTCAAATGTTTGTTAAAATTTACCCCCCCACCACTATAGACGTATTTCTAATACTAGAGACTTGTGCTTTGGCAAATGCATGCATATCCATGTTATAATCTGAAAGTTTCATGAAGAAAGTACATCCACAAGAAAAGTTATTAAACAATTAAATTCCCATAGTAGGTCCAAATTGCAGCCGATGCGTGTTTATGCGTACGTGCGTATGCCTGTGTGTATGCGTTTGTGTGTGCATGTGCGAACAATTATTGAAATCTCTTTCATACTTGTTTTAAAGATGTAGGAGATATAATTTTATAACTAATTTTCAATAAGGTGTGTGTTCGATAAAAAAAAAAATAACGGGATGAATTATCGATTTTTTTGTGATAAACTGGACATACGCGCTGTATATAGGGATATTTGAAAAAAATTTTAAGTCTCTAGCTTGTATATCTTCTGAAATCGACGCGTTCAAACAAGCAGATAGACAGACGGATAGGGCCGAATCGATTCAGGTCGCCCTGCTCAAGAATATATATACTTTGTGGGGTCTGCCACGCCTAATTCGCCGGCAGTGCCATCTAGTAAAACTAAACCAAATTAACAGCAGATGTGATTCAAAGAATGTTCTAGAAGAAGTTTGAATGTATGTGTGCACACGTATACAATACTGTTGTAGCTGCTGCACGTGCGTTTGATAATTGGCCTGAACCGATTTTCAATGGGAAATCAGTGTATAATGGTTTTGTTGAATTGTATGTAACAGGCACAAGGAGGCGTGGTGGACCCCAGAAAGTATATACATATATTCTGATAAGGGTGACGAGATGAGTCGATTTGGCCCTGTCCGTCTGTCAGAAGATATAAGAGCTAGAGACTTCAAATTTTTTTTAAATGTCCGTAATTACAGCGCGCATATCAAGTTTATCATTAAAAATCGATAACTCATCCCGATCTTTTTTATCGATAAAAAACCTTATCGAAAACCAGTTATAAAATTATATCTTCTAC